GCTGAAATTTGGCATGATGATAGCTCACATTCCCGATTAACATTAAAGCATATTCTTACCTCAAAAATCCTTTCGGGCTCCGCCCCAGTGGCTCTGTAGTTCCCCATGTTAATCTTATGATTTTTCATATTTAAAAGGAATTAATGCATCTTAACAGCTGTTTCAATCAAACAAGTAGGTTCTTTCTATGATGTTCAATAGCATAAAAGTTACAAGGATTACAACAGGGTGCAGCACTATATTTTTTTTATTTATTATAACAACAGCTAATTTCCAAACCAAAAGGTGAGTGAGCGTAGCGAACGAACTTCAACTGGAGGCGAGTTAGCGTAGCGAACGAGCTAACCTGAAGGCAAGTGAGCGCAGCGAACGAGCCTCCAACCTAAAGGTGAGAGAGCGTAGCGAACGAACTTCAACCAGGACTTGAATAAGCCATGCAAATACTTATGAAGTTAAACGGGACAAAGCCCGCAGGTACAGCTAGTGAAAATATAAGTATAAAAAATTGTGAGACAAATTATTTTTTTTAAGTTAAGCAGCGGCTACACTTGCCCGATTCGGTCCGGTCCGGTTCGGTTCGGTCCGGCCCGAATTTGTGAGGGGTGGCTACACTTGTACGAATCGTTCGGTCCGGCCGGAAGAGGTAGCTACACTTGTATGATATTTTGGAAGACACACACGAGCACGGGGCACAAGTACAGCAATACAGAAAGTGTTTAGTCAGGACTGATTAACCGAATAGCACGGTAGGCACGTGCCTAGGGCGCGAGGCAATTGGCTTTTTTGAGGGGTGCCAAAAAATGAAAATTTAAAAAAAATTGTGGTTGTACTTGCATGCAATCTCGGTAAACTTTTTATAATCCCTCGCGGCCGTGTAGACATTGTAATCGTCTCCGAATATTGCGACAAAATTCAGACTATTTTCAGCGGTCGTAGTAGACATTATCTTCTTCCATGATCGAGGCAATATATGAACATAATTGCCTAAATCCTTAGGCCTATATCCTATAATAACTATTTTTCCTAATTGAATTCATCACTTTCGTAGCCGAGTGCTCACGGAACCACCCGATCCTCATCCGAAATTCGGGAGTAGGTGGCTACACTTGTCGGATTCGGTCCGGTCCGCCCCGAATGCTTCCGCCAAAATGCGGATGAATGCTCCCGGACGATTGTTCCGCGCCGAACCGGACCGTACCGGACCGAATCGGGTAAGTGTAGCCGCCTCCATTTAAAAACATGGGAAGCATTGTCCGCATTTTGGAGGACCGGACCGAATCGGGTAAGTGTAGCCGCTGCTTTAACCAAAAAGTGAAGACATAATAATTTTCTGGCCCAAAATTAAAATCTCAATTACCTCTATCATGTTGTGCACTTATAATACTAAAACTACTGTACATTTTTTCGTAACAATTCTTCAAAGAAAATATATTGAACCTAATCATGGTGATTGAGGTCTGAAGTGCCTTTGAACATAGTATGACAGGTAAATCAACTACACCTGAGATGATGAATATTCATACAGGCTCAGTACAAGTCAGTAATACCAGGTGCAACTGGGTCTACAGTATTGAACTTCTTACACAGGGGGCAACAGTAAATATTGTCTCAGATTGAATTGTGTTAAATGACTATTAATCAATTTGAGCAGTTGCCACCTGTTTCACATGGTGAAGGACTGATGACTAAAGAAAGTCCATTGCTAAAGATAAAGCAAAGGATTTCGACAGCTAAAGATTTAAGTTGTCCAAGCAATAAAGTGCAATGGAGTATAAGACTGTTGTCTTGTGTGCAAAGTGATTTTGGAGATTACATCTTGTGTTGGTTATCCATGAGGCTAGCTTTTGTTTTGGCATACAGTTTTCCTTTTTATATAGCCTAACAGGAACTTCTTAAACTTAAAAATTCAGCAATAAGAAAATAAATTTGGTTAAAGGCTCAGCAACTTTGGTATAATTTTCATTTTATATCAAATAAAAAATATACTTCACAAGATGATGCACTGATTTCATCATACTTAATGGAGCTCAACTAGTAATTATGAAAGACTAAAAATATGTACTGTATACAAAATTTGATGAGAATAACGATTTTGTCTGTATAATAAATATCATATTACCATAACCAAATTTTAAAAAAATGATGAAAATAATTTCATTCAAATTACTATGATTT